AAATACGAGGTTCTTAGTTCTCCAATTATACATACCACAGCTACTCCCACTCCCCGCGATATACAAAAATGTTTGAACTTCCCTTCCGTTCAAAGGATGTTTGAAACGTCGAAACCCGTTTTCAACGTTTTGAATACACCAACGTCAATTCAACTAAGGCGTCAGACAAGTTGGAAAAGTGTTCGCTTAATCCGCAGAGCCTAATTGGAAAATTACCCTGAAAAGATAGAGGAGGAAAAACACGCAAACTCGACTGTTGAATATATCATTAATTGTTCAATTTCATAAGTGTTTTAGAATTAATTTCAACCACAAAATAAAAAAGCCTTTGCGTCAAGATGGTATCTCTTTCCCTACTTCGGTCTGGATCAATGCACCTACTCTCTACTCTTAGGGTTAGATTGTTCACTTACAGAGGTCATAGATGTGTTTTTGACGCTTATTAAAAAAATCTAATCTGACTACAGATTTCATTTCAATTTCAATTTTTTCAATTAAAACGTCAAAATAAAGATAATTTTTATTTCAATTAATTAAGGTTTTTAGTTGAGATAAAAAAGTCAATGGCACGAGCGGGATTCGAACCAACGATCTTCGGCTAGATACGCCGCTACTCTACCACTTGAGCTATCGTGACTTCGATCCACTCAGACACCAACTTCCTATCTCAACCCGTAGACATTTCATTTGTCGCCGAGAATCCAATCCGATTACACATTTGAAAAATGGCAAAAAGGAGGGAAAATTCAAAAGGTGGGGTTGAGATGGAAAATTAGAGTTGTGAGACCTAAAGATTTTTCCTAGGTCAAAATTTGGGCGTTTGACTCCTGCCCCGCTCCATGTTTTATTTTAAATCCACATATATATATATAATAATTATACTTTATTGCAAAAAAGAAAAGTTATAAACATTACATAGTACATAATTTAAAGTAAAATTACGGCATGGAGGGTCCGTCTACCGGAGGTCGATTTTCATTTGACTTAAATTTTTGGTGGACACAGAGAAAAAAGTACAAAAGAAAAAAAATTGATCCTTAAATAAATGTTACAATTGATAATTTAATTTTTAATAATTACATTAATTACTAACATACATTGTAAACAATAATTTTTGTTCTTTTTTTATTTTACAATAATATAGATATATAAATTATTTGGGCCAGCAATTTAGAATGACAAGGCTTTAAAATATTCAAAAATTAAATTCTAATATTAACTCTTGGCGATAGTGTCAGGCGTGGCGAGCNTCAGCCCCCGTCGAAATCAGTCTCAATCCAAACCCACTCACTCTTAAAACCATTCTATCCTATTTACATGCCAATAGTCGCTCAGTTAAAGTTGTGGAATATTTGATATTCCTCCACCTTCCTTTACACCTATTATATAACTAACCTAATGGACGGTTGATACATTCTAGCAATACATTCAGTCTCAACACACACTAGGGTATATAAAAATATTAGCACGATATGCAATAATTCAAGAATCGGTACAAAGGATCCAGATACTCGCTGCCGCGCTCAAGAACAATTCTCATATCGGTTGGCATTCCTACGGGCTCTCTATAAGGAGCCAAAGAATTGCACTATTCAATTAGGTGAGACAACTTGATCAACCTTTCACATGTCGAACAAATACGCGGCCTTTGAAGTAAATAAAATTCCGTGTGCCAACTTCGCAAGTCCTATCCTTAAACATTTCCTGTAAACATTTTTGTCTGTATTGCATTTTTTATTTTGATAGTTTACTCTATTATACAATTTATAATTTTTTACGTAAATAGCAACGAAGCGCAAATATCTATAAAGTTTTATTTTTATTATTATTATTGTTATTAACCTTATGAGTTTGCCCTGACGTAAGGTCAACACTTCCGCAACACTCACAAGTCTTGCGGGCTTAGTATTCAGGGGTCTCGTTAAGATGTCCAAATATCACTTCACAAAAATAGAATATTTCTAAAATTATGAAGCAAAAGGTTTTTCTTTTTACGTTTAGTTTAGAAATAATTAATTTTGTTTCATGCAAATGCGCCAATAACCAAATACCCAATTGGTCATATTATCTGGGATGATGTAAAAAAAGTCTGTGTACAATTCAGACAAAAAACTATCATGGTGGAAGCCAAACAAACCTCCATTAAACTAAGTCCGCTTAAGTCCCGAGAATGGACTTAAGCCTTAACTATGACTGATCAATCTGTAAAATACAGTGTTTGGTTTGACTAAACTCAAGCTGCCAAGGAGAAGATCAAAATACACAATTAAAACGTAGTCTTAAATTTCAAAATTGTCATTTGTCTCTATAATGAAAAATACAAAATTAATATTAGAAAAGAGAAAACACATAATTTACTGTCGTTCTAGTGTTTATCTTGGACCAATCGAAAAAACAAACACAATTTTCCTTTGCAAGCAGTTCCCTTTCTATTAAAAAAAAAGGCAAACATGAAAGTAGATCAAATATTTTTATTTCCCACACACATAACTATTATAATATTAATATTTCAATTTTTATTCTTTAACTTTGCTGATCATTGATGAGATTCTACTCGTTTTGTTGTCATTGTCTATCAAATATGATCAATATTTTCCGATTTTATTAGTTTTAAATTAAAATTACCATTTCAAGCACATGCTTATATATCATTTGAATATCCATTAATCAAATATATTGTAGTAGATTTAGATGGGGATATATTATATGATGGATATATTCATCGATTAACCTTTACACCTACTATATAACTAATCTAATTGAAGCTCTGTAGGGAAATATTCAGCCCAATAGAAAACCTTCTCACACTATAAATTCACGCCAATAAATACATTCACTCGCAAAACACGCTAGGTACTTAACTATCATAGTTTTCAATAAAACAACCCTGTTGACTTCGAGAATCGGTATAGGTGACCGCAAATATTAGCTCCTACGCTCAAGCACAATTCTCATATCGGGTGACATTTAAACGCGCCCTCGGCAATTTTACCCTTGAATAAGATGGGACACATCGAACAACCTTTCTCTACATGCTGGACTACGCGGGCCCAAAAGTATGTGTCCGTGTGTCAACTTTGCATGGCCCTCTTTCATTAATTTTAGGGCTTTTATTCTTTCAAACATCTCTTTATTTGTATTTGAAAGGTCAAAATTTTCTTTTTAATTTCATTTTGTTAGGCAATGTTGTATTTCATTTTTTTTTTTTTTTGGATTTTACGATGGCTTACTTTTAGTCTGTCTTTATTTTATTTTGTCCTAAAAGTCTAGTCTATTTGTACTTTCGTGTGCTATCATGCATCAGTCGCAGCCCCAGTGTCATTTCTTAAATAGGACAAATGATGTTTTTATTCTTTGTGAAAGGTAGGACCACGGGCTCATAATCTGACACCTCCTTTGTACTAAACTGAGGGCAATTTGCATTTAAGATGAAACAATTTCATCATATCTGTCCGTTATTATAAAATATTACGTTGTACTTTATTATATAAAATTTGGTTACAACTGACCAGAAAAGTTTCAGAATTGGGCAAATAAACTTTACAAATTGATGCAATCAGCTAATACAGTTTAGTTTAGTTAGTCTTCACATACACAAAAAATAACATCCAAGAATATAAAACTTACAAAAAAACGTGTGGTGATTAGTGACCGTTAATCGATATTTATTTAGACATGAGATGCGGTCTGGGTGATGTAGGTTTCAGAAAAACATTTTCTTTATCGTGCCAACGTTTCGATCTCTATTGAGATCATCTTCAGGGCCTGGGATTTACAACCATTACCAACATATTTTTCCCCTCCACCGCCCCTTTCAACCCAAAAAAACCCAACCCCTAAAAAAAAAAGGCCTTTCCAGAACGAAAACCCTCCCCAACCCCTCAAAAACCAAACGAAAAAAAAAAAAAAAAACAAAAACCCAACGGCACTCTCGACACGACACGCAAGAAGACACAATTACAAAGAAGACAAACACTTTGAGTGAGTAGAAATTGATTGAATATATAAAAAAATATATTTTGCCTTTTATAAATTCACTTTTCCACAACCAAAATGTAATTGTTATATGTAAACAATGATTGTAAACCCCAGGCTCTGAAGATGATCTCAATAAAGATCGAAACGTTGGCACGATAAAGAAATGTTTTTCTGAAACCTACATCACACCAGACCGCATCACGATGTCTAAATAAATAAAAAATGACAAAGAAACTCTTACTCAACCAAAATTCATAGATTGAAATAATTAGAATAAAAGCTAAAACGTTTTCCTTTATTAAAACTTGATATCAATCGAAAAATTATTCTGATTGTTCCATGGCCTACTTTTGCAAATAATTGAATCAAAATTGGCTTCTTGTCAGCCTGTTCTCGCTTCTGCTCTGTAATCAGACGCTTTCATGTCAATGACTTGTATAATTGGCTGGCTGAGTCGAAGAAAACGCGAAATTACAGAAGAAGCCCTTGACGAATATCTTTGTAACAGATTTTTAATAAATATTCCTAATTTACAAAAATTTAATTGAGATGTAAAAAGATGTTAAAATAACAATGGAGATAGAAATGACTTTCATCGGTAGAAAACGATAGATTGAAGTGATAAGATTAAGTTAGAACGTCGCTGTGTACATAATTACAATGTACGTAATTACATCATCAATCTAAGTGCAAAACTGATCATTTGTAATGTTATGTCTTCCTGATAACCTCTTCTAGATATGACGATTTCTCTTTATGGTAGATCGTTATACTAAGTTCATCATGGTCCGGTTGGCAATGTGATGATATCTCCCATGAGATTATCATGTGGCAAATTAACCCGGGGTTATTTTGGATTTAGACGAGACCGGTTCGATATTCCCCTCGAAGGGATATGCGTGTTTCCACTAGCACACAATACATTCGGTGTCTGACGTGTGAGAGATAAGAACGAAAGCCTTATCGGCGAAAAGTAAACGAACGCTCGATTTTAAAAGAAAAAACGGTTAATAAGATCGTACCTGACGATTATGTTTTGAAATCTATGCCCCCATAGTATGTCGGGAGGGGTGTAGGAAGTCCTCACTTCTGTCGTCTGTCCGGTCGTCTCGACAGTGCAAACCAAAGAGACGACTATCTCAAATTGCGACCTTAACAATTCTCTGGCGTTGAGACGGTAAAACGGGCTCCTTTCGTCGATCTTGTGTACGACAGTCACCGGCCATAAGAGAAAAAAATCGCTTCTGAAAAATAACATTTAAAATTCCACTTTTGATCAACTTATATGTCGAGAAGATGACATACCCTCCGTCTTCCACTGAAATTTTCAACTTAGTCTGGTAATAAGGAAGAGCTTCGCCTTCTTTTGATATCCTGTGCTTCAAAATCCAAGCTCTGATCTTACAACCGACCAAGCAGGATTTCCTGACGTCGGCTACTCTAAACGTCAAACAGAATCGCCCGTCCCTAAGGCAAACTGTCGCTTTCTCGCTTAAAACAATCCTCATAAAATCGCCGTCGTACATTAAAACAAATGACTTTATAATGTTTTATTTTACTACCTGAAAAATATCGCTTGGGATCTGGCTTTGGGCCGGGCGAGTTTGGCGAACACCACCCCGACCATGACCGATTGCAGAAGCAATCCGAATATGCTCTGGACGCAAAGAAGGAATACAGCTTCTGGGCATTGAGGAGTTGGGGACCTCGTACCGTACCCCGTCGTGTACTGCGTCTCCAAAGAAAAAAGAAATGCCGATGTCATATCTTCCACTAATGTCACGCACGGCTCTCTGAAACCAAAAAAAAAATATCACGGATCAACAATTTACAAATTTTTAAATTATTCAGATATCGTGAGATGCAGTCTGGTGTGATGTAGGTTTCAGAAAAGCATTTTCTTTATCGTGCCAACGTTTCGATCTTTATTGAGGGCATCTTCAGGGCTCAAAGGCAGTTGGGCACTCTCAAAACGACACGCCAGAATGGCACAATTACACAGAAGACAAACACTTTGTAGTAAACATATATCATGTATTTTTTATTAATGATACTACATAAACATATAACGTTATGACAAAAAAATATTTCAAGCAATTTAAAAAAAGATTACACTTAATTATTCAGAAATCGTGAGATGCGGTCTGATTTGGTTTCAGAAAAACATTTTCTTTATCGTGCCAACGTTTCGATCTTTATTGAGAGCATCTTCAGGGCTCAAAGTGTTTGTCTTCTGTGTAATTGAGCCATTCTTGCGTGTCGTGTCGGGAGTGCCCGAGAGGGCACTTTAATTTAAACAATGTTTATAAATCCCAGGCCCTGAAGATGGTCTCAATAAAGGTCGAAACGTTGGCACGATAAAGAAAATATTTTTCTGAAACCTACATCACACCAGACTGCACTATATCTGAATAATTATCGATTAACGGTCACTAATCTCTACAAATTTTTAAATATTACCCTCAATCGCATTTTTTTCAGTTCCAAGTGATTCATATACCCTGTTATAGAACGACTACGGCGACTTTTTTATTCATGGAATCATTCAAACCGTATTGAATCACCATAACTGTGTTACATTTAAAGATTTTTCCTGAAAATCCCACTACGGCTTTAATTTAAATCGTCTGTATACCCCTAGATACATAACTGTTTCATATAAACTGATATCGACAGATCAGATTGATATAAATGGAAATAAAAATCGAATCAATTAAAATTTACTGCAAGTAGCAAATGCCAAATTGAATATACGATACAAAAGAAAATCGTCATTTAAGGCTTAAACTTTTATCTTCGCAGTTTCTGTTTGTTAGTAAATTCCAAATAATCTTCGTCTAAATATATTTGTCCACTTTTACTAGTTAATCCAGGTGTGTTTACACTGGCGACAATTGTAACAAACAAAGCTTGGTGTGAGGGAGATCGAACATTTAAAATACAACATCCTCAGAATATAACAATTTTAGAAAAAAAATTGTCTTCCATTTATGAAAATTGTTGAGTAGATTATCTGACAATGATCTCAGAAGACATTTAACATTTTGATCTCAGTATACATGGGGTATATTTATTTGTCAAGTGATAAGTAGTAAAAAATATAGAGGGGGAAAAAGGAATATATAAAGACCAAATAAGTCCCCAACCATCCTTAAGAACTCCATTGAAAGTGGTTTATTTTTTAATCCCTTTCTGTGTCATTTTGCTTTTTTGTTATATTTTGTTGAAAATAGATGGTTTATTTTCTGATGTAATTATATTGATTAAAAAATAAACATTGATCAAATTACAATCATTGTTGGTTGAGTTCTAAATAAATTTTCGTCCATTTATCCCTTCCATGGAAAAACGGGCTCATTGACGACCTTTCGGAAAGTTTTCCCTCAAAACATTCCCCCGACTAACCAGCCGAACCCACTTAAACATTCAACCCAATTTTGTGACTAAATGGCGAGCGATGGGAGTTGGAAAAGCTGGAAAAGCAACACAACCCCTTGTCCCAACAAACAGAGATATGAAGATTTGGAGAGAAGGTGGTTGGTTATTTTGGGAAGGAAAATGACGCTAATAGAAAGACAGACGGGCCAAGAGGCGCCTCACAAAGCTAATAAGTATTACGCAACATTTCCGATTTTGTTCCAGGTCATTTTACTACTCCGTTTTAAACTAATTTTTCATATTAATAAAATCTACATAAACAGGAAATTCGTTAAAATTCCCATTGTGTTTCGGGTTTTTTCCTCCATGGATTAAAGATAATCCGTTAATTACCGCTTGAATTGGATTGCAAGTTTGGCTATTGATTAGTATAATCTATGACGTCTTATCTATCGAGTTTGAATTATTAAGCAACATTAAACTTAATTACGAGGGTAACGGAAAATTTTTTTTTGAAATCAAATTAGAACCGGTTTGTAGGATAAATCAAAAAAATAATCCGTTTATAATTTGAAAACTCTAATCTAGAAAGAAAAATCTAGGAAAATAAAAACATTAACTTACGTGTTACTTATTTAAGTAAGTATTAAGTAAATACTTTTTAAAAGGATAGTTCCTACTCACAGTAAGTTGTTTTGCAACGATCCGGATTTCGAGCCTTTTAGCTCATCATCAGGTTGTAGAAGTCCTTCAACCTGATGATGAGCTAAAAGGCTCGAAATCCGGATCGTTGCAAAACAACTTACTGTGAGTAGGAACTATCCTTTTAAAAAGTATTGAACACCACACTCACTCCATCATTTATCATTTGTATTAAGTAAATGTTATAAAAATTCTTATTTTGTCTTAAAAAACTACATATATGTATAATACTGTTAAAAAAATTTATATAATAATATGTCCGTAACTTTGAAGAAAAATTATAAACGAGAAAACTATTGATAAAAAAAGCTATTTGTTATGCAAGAAATTAAAAAAAAAATAACAAATCTGTAGTAAAATAATTGTAAAGAAATAAAATTAAAATTCTCTCGTCACACTCTGACCCTATCTAGGAGTGAAAGCAGCCCGAGAACTTCGTTACAGACTATGCACTTGGTACAGCATTAAGTTAAATGAATTTTTTTTAAAAAACCATCACGTGCGTTCACACTCAGAAGACAATCCCTCCAGTGCACATAAACACCATCAAAGAATCCACTACTTGGGTTATACTGCTCAGCAGACTTACCCACCCATTAAACTTAAAGGGAAATTTCAAACGCCTACTTGTACCTAAAGCCGAGGTACGTTTATATAAACAAATTAACTACAAAGCACTAATCAGACCGATTTGAACGGAGTCGAGCTGTAAGGTTTAGTCAAACCTTCCAACTAAAGAATCCCAACCTTCTACATCATTAACCAAGTCATCCACAATGACCTAGACACGCCATTAGTAATCCTGATCCGAACACGATTCCTCTCTGCAATGTCCCACCCTAACAATCCCCCACGCCGACTAAGGAGACAGTCGCCTCGTGACCTACTGACATAACCCTAAACCAACCCTACAAATTTATTTAGAAATCGTGAGATGCGGTCTGGTGTGATGTAGGTTTCAGAAAAACATTTTCTTTACCTTCCCACGTTTCGATCTTTATTGAGATCATCTTCAGGGCCTGGGATTTACAAAAATTGTTTACATATAACAATTACATTTTGGTTGTGGAAAAGTGAATTTATAAAAGGCAAAATATATTTTTTTATATATTCAATCAATGTATTTCTACGTTGGCACGATAAAGAAAATGTTTTTCTGAAACCTACATCAGACCGCATCTCACGATTTCTGAATAATTAAGTTTAATCTTTTTTTTTCTTTTTTTTAAATTGCTTGAAATATTTTTTTTGTCATAATGTTATATGTTTATGTAGTATCATTAATAAAAAATACATGATATGTGTTTACTACAAAGTGTTTGTCTTCTGTGTAATTGTGTCATTCTTGCGTGTCGAGAGTGCCACTAATCACCACACATTTCAACCCTACAAAATTTTGAAAATTGGCTCCTTTTGTCCATCATCGTGACACAATAACGAGATTTTTTTTATTGTATAATAAAAAGTTTTCATCAGGGAACAGGGGAAAATTCAGAGATAAGGGCAACTGAAAAAAAAGAGCTAGTTTCTCCGCCGAGCTTTTCAGTCATTAATACTTTGAATGTATTAATAATAATTTATAAAAATTAACAAATGTGAACATTTATTTACATTATTCTGATCGGTGGTTTTAAATAAAGTGAAATTACGAGTTCAATTTACATGAGTGAAAGAGTTCAATCATGGTCTATTCTATGATATGCAGTATTGAAAATAAATTGTGTTTTCGTTTTTGTAAGCATGGAATTGATTGCTTCACTCGAATATTACATTTTTAACCAAAGAAAAATGGTAACCCTGATGGTAAAATATAACTGTGTATAAATGGTATACACAGATTTATAACGTTTTGAGCGTTGGTAATTTTTTATATATAGAATATTTAGGCATTAAACGTCAGTGTTTTAATAAATAGGTTTTATAATTAAAATATATAAAAGAAACTTACGGTTCTGAATTTTCATACGGAGACGTTTTGAGGTCACCGTGGGCGTAAGCTATAACCCACCAAAGCACTCCGAATATGAACCAAGTCGATATAAAACTCACGATGCAAATAAGTAAAATGTACCTCCATCTTAGATTGACTAGACTTGTGAAGAGATCTGTCGTATAATAGGTATATTTCCGTATCCTCCTTCTTTCTTTGATACCGCAAAATCCACTTTTGGTCACGGACCTTAGGTAGTTTCTAGAAAACTGAACGCTAATTAAACAATCATAGCTGAAGATTCCAAAGCCCAGAACTTACTTGGATTGGCCTTTGATCAGCAACGGTCCCATAGTAGCCGAAACCCCTTATCTAAGAGACTGGTACATGACAAACAATTATGAAAAATCCAACTGAGCCGAAAAGACCACAGGTTTCGAATTTCGAGTCGTCCTAGAAATGTTTGTTTAACTAGGGTCGTATAATGACGTTAGTCAAACATTTTCTATCTGTACAATGTAAATTTAGAGTTAAGTCGAGTGTCACGATAACGCTGCTTTTGCGGGCGATGTGAGATAATTTTAAATTGACACCATTTCTTCTTTTTTGTCCTCCTAAAACAGAATTAATTCGAACAAAACTCCTCGCCGACCGACCTACGCCGTTTTCCCGCTTGACACTTCTTTAAACATACCAGCACGTGGCCCTGGACTCAATTAACCAAAGGTTCAAAACAAAACCCTACATCGGCTCGGTCAATTAACATTATAGTGTAAATTCTATCGTAAATAAAGACCCACGAGAAACATGGACCTGGCCTGGACACGGTTGAACTGAATAAAGCTAAAAATTAATACCAATGTCGATACGGTTTTTTCAATTGCAAAAACAAATGAAATCACAACAATAACGATCTACTAATCAATTTAATTAAATGCACCAATTGTCTAAAAATAATAATAGTGCTCAAAATGTGTTCATTGATTCGTAAATTTAAATAGATGCACAAATATGCTCAGACACCCAAACACTGCTTTAAATTCCATCTTCTACTCAATGCTGATCTAGGAATGCCTAAGTACCTCCTTGGGAATTGTTATCAGGTAATTTTGATGTGGTTTCCAGCACATGTAAGTATGAAATACAATGAACTAGCTGACAAACCAGCAAAGTCAGAGGCAGCCCTCCCATAACCACAAATCTGCACACCCCGAAGCATGCTAAAAGAGAAAAAAATGGATGAAATAAGAAATGGTATGGTATGGTAAAAAGGATACCAGGAAGAGGGGTTTGCACGCCCCAGGCACTGCAGCCTTCTGTTTATTGTACCTTCCTAGTTAGTTCAGTGCAATCGACTTAATCCTTCTCCTTAGAAATATCAGATCATTGACTGTCGTTTCTGCAATTTGATTACCTATTTTTTTTCTGTACATTAAGTTAAACCTCCATTGAGCTGTTGCTTCGCATTCGAAGATGATAAGTGTGGCTGTTTCCTCCTCCTCATTACATAATCTGCAGATGGGATCATATACATCGCTGTATATACCCGTGTTGTGAGGATGTTTTCTCAGATACCAGTGACCGGTTAGTAGTCCCACCACTCCTCTGGGTTTTGCCCTCTTCAATTGCACCAATGCTTTTGCCGTCTTGGTGAGGGTTGTTTCACCATAAGTTTACTATGTCTAACACCGCTAGAGTTTGTTCACTACTTTTGTTTTGTTTGGATCCATTCTGCGATGGAGGATTCTATATTTGTTTTTGTTATCTCAAGAATAACAAGGGGCCTAGGGTCTTGCAAATCCTCCTCTGGCCAGTTTGTCTACTTCCTCGTTACCCAAAATTCCCCTGTGCCCTGGCACCCAAGATATCATCAGGTTGTTGTGTTTTCCCAGGTTTTGGAGATTTTGGATGCATTCACTGACTAGTTTTGATGTAATTCTTTTACATGCTAATGCTTTATTGCTGCTTGGCTGTCTATCTTATGAGGATTTTTTTGTCAGTGTAACCTCTTCTAAGATTTTCCAGGGCACAATCATTGATGGCATGTATTTCCGCTTGAAAGACCGAAGTATACTTCCCTAAGGAGTTTGATTGCTCATATTTTGGGCTTGTACAGAAAATGCCTGATCCGGCTCCTTCGTTTGTTTTGGAGCCATCTGTGTACCATAACATTGTATCTATGCTCTCCTGTGTTCTTCCTCTCCTTTATAGTCTGTTGAGACTTTATAGGAAGTTGTGAAGATTGTTTTCAGGACAAGATACTCTAAGGCGCAAGCATGTATTTCTGCTTGAAAGACCGAAGGGTACTTCCCTAATGAGTTTGATTGCTCATATCTTGGGGTTATACAGAATATACCGGGTCCAGTACGGGGCGAGTAGGTTTTGGAAACATTGTCAAAAGAAATGTTGATATTGGTATGGTATGGTATGGTGGAAAGGATACCAGGAAGCGGGGTTTGTATTCCCCAGGCACTGCAGCCTTCTGGCTTATTGTACCTTCCTAGTTCCTTAGTTCAGTCAATAGACTCAATCCTTCTTCTCAGAAGTATCAGATCATTGACTGTTGTTGCTGCAATTAGGGATGGTTAGGGATGGTTAGGGGATTATGGATTCCCTAAGTCTTTTCTGTACATTAGGTTAAATCTCCATTGAGCTGTTGCTTCGCATTCGAATATGATATAAGTGGCTGTTTCTTCCTCCTCATTACATAATCTGAAAATGGGATCATCGTTGTATATACCCATGTTGTGTAGATGTTTTCTCAGATGCCAGTGACCGGTTAGTAGTCCTACCACTCCTCTGAGTTTGGCCCTCTCCAATTGCACCAATGCTTTTGCCAGTCTTTGTGACGGTTGTTTCACCATAAGTTTACTATGTCTAGCACTGCTAGAGTCTATCCACTTCTCTTTTTGTTTTGTTTGGATCCATTCTGCGATGGAGGATTCTTTGTTTTTGTTATCCCTATATAAGTATAGGTTCAGGGCCTATGTATGGTCTTGCAGATCCTCCTCTGGCCAGACCGTCTGCTTTGTCGTTACCCAAAATTCCCCTGCGCCCTGGCACCCAAGATATCATCAGGTTGTTGTGTTTCCCCAGGTTTTGGAGATTTTGGATACATTCACTAAGATAACTAGACTAATAGGAAATACTTGGATGAATTCACCAGGTGCGAAACAATCAAAGAAATTTATCAAAATATCTCAGCTAGAAAGGCATCTACAGCAGAAAGCAGAAACATTGAAGCATATTAAATTCACTAGTTTTCGTGGTCCGCTTGACCAATTAATATTATTATATAATTGAAAGATATTAATTGGTCAAGCGACCACGAAAACTAGTGAATTTAATATGCTAAATAATAAATAAATGAAGTATATCTTCACTAAAGCTCTCCGTGACGATTTCATTTGTCGCCGAGAATTAAATAGATTACACGACATTTGAAAAATGGCAAAAAAGGAGGGAAAATTCAAAAGGTGGGGTTGAGATGGGAGGTTAGTGTCCGAGTGGATCGAAGTCACGAAAGCTCAAGTGGTAGAGTAGCGTATCAAGCCGAAGGTCATGGGTTCGAATCCCGCTCGTGACACTGACTTTTTTATCTCAACTGAAAATCTTAATTAATTGGAGCATATCTTATTTGACTACGAAGTGTTAGCCTGAATACGGAACAACCAATTTTGAAAGGCAACTCTAACACTTAGAAAAACAAGCAAGGGTCAATTCTACAATACATCTTTTAAGTCGCAATTGAAGAAAGGGAGAGTTAGAGACACTGTAAAATAGAGAGTCAGAGAAAGAGAAAGAAAAAAATCTCACAGATATAGGTAGATAGATTAGTAGGTATGTACTACGTTCCTAGGGGAAGGTTGGTAAGTTGATAAGTATGTATAGATAGGTAGGACAGTAAGGTAGATAGGCTGCTAAGTAGGTAAAAGAGAGGAACACAAAGTAGGGGAGGGAAAGCGAATATGAGAGAGAAAAGCAACAAGCTGACAGGAAGAAAGGCAGTCAGAAGTGAGTGGGCGTGTTAGAGAGACAGGCAGACAGAAAGAGAAAATAAATTGAGAGAAAGAAATTGAGAGAAAGAAAATGAATGAAAGGAGTTTTATATAGAGTCGCAGTTTGATTATATGATCACGGAAACATACTATGTAACACCCTTTAAAGTCTCAACACACTATAAAGAGAAGAAGAATTCAAGGAGCAAATCAGATACAATATGATAACAGGATGGCTCCAGAACAAATGAAGAAACAGGAACGGATCAACGCATATTCTGCTCAAGTTCAAAATATGAGCAATAAAACTGTACCACCGAAAATTTTAAAAGAGGTAATACTGACAAAAATGCATTCAAAATCTCCAAAATCTGGAAAAATGTAATATCTTGACGATATCATCGGTGCCAGAGTAATGAAAAAGCATGTCTGGCCGGAAGGCAAGACCAATTATTGGCCATAATAACCTATATTTGGGTTTACTTTTTTCCATTTCAAAATGAATCCACATAAAAAAACAAAAGGAGAATTAGACCAACTCTAGACCAATCAATTTATGACTAGTTCTCTAAACACCAAAACTGGCGAACACAGTGATACTGTTAGAGAGAGCAAAACTGTAGTGTTAGGGATATATACTGGTCGCTGGCATCTTAGAAAACACACATAATAAGTCGATGATGAACCCATTTGCAGGTTATGTAATGTGGAGGAGTGAAGCAACCGCTCAATGGACACATAACCTAGAATATCAAGAAAACCCGGGGAAAAGAATTGCAGCAATGACAGTCAACGATCTGACTTCTTAAGAGAAGAATCTATTCAATTGAACTGAACTAACAAGGAAAAGTACAATAAGCCAGAAGGCTGAAGAGGTTTGGAAATACAAAACCCTTCGTAGAATTCCATTATCATCATGGTTACGCCAAGTGGAAATTTTATTAAGCCACAGGCAAGCCAATTTAATCGCCTTTAAATTTCTCTAGTGATTTAGAAACCAACCTGTCTATTGGCACTTAACTATTATGGTGGCACTGCATGTTCATACCATGGATAGCACAGTCTTGTTTTAGAATTTGATTTACCTAGGTCAGCCTGTTCTTTCGATTCTTTTTGTAAGATGATGTAAGATCACTTACTTCTATTTCTTTAGTTTTTTTGTCTTTCCGAAGTGTCGTTACTGTACTTAAGATATCTAGACCACGGTAGCCGAGTGGAAGGGCGTCCTAATTGTATTTGTCATCCTGGCAGTTCTGGCTTCAAATACCAGCAGAGAGCCCATGGCTTTTTAATTGATAATAAATATAAGAAATGTATAAAAATATAAATTGTGGATACAACAGGTCTTAAAGTATAAAGTATAATACGCACCCCGTCTAGGATGAAAAACGTATTATAAAGTGGTTTGACCCTTCATACTCAACACCAGATGGTGGTTGGACAGCCTTCCTGATGCTTGATAGTTACTCACCTATCCTCGCTGAAAATGTTTTAAAGGTTGTGAAGCAAATAGAGAAGAGGTTATGGTGAGTGTACTACATAATTTGGATAATTTAATTTTGTCATTTTCTCTTAATGGCTCATACAGCCTGGATGTTATCGTACCCCCATTGCAGGAATTTTGC